CCCCAAAACCCCAAAACCCCAAAACCCCTCAATTCTCAATTACTTACAGCATCATATTGATTAAATTAACATAAGTTTTCAAATTAGATATCAATTAATCCTAAGAGTTGTGTTAAATACAGCTTACTGATTGCTTTATGACTGTGCATTCAAAAATGCATTTTGATTCAATCCACTCAAAGAGGAAGGAATCTGATTTAAGTTAGTCTGATCCTGTATCTTTACACTGATATTCCTTACTTTTTAAGGCTTTATCAATAATGGAAGTCCATACTTTTTAGCCTTTTTAGTCAGTTTTTCTACTGTCATTTACCTTATTAACTCCAGAGGATATTGGCCTCGATTGTTTGGAATTAGGGTGTTTGCCTTATTTTTGAAAAGAATTTTTATCATATCATAATCATCACGCTAGCAAGCCAAAAATAATGGAGTTCTATCTCTGCTATCCTAGAGATTTATGACTTGGGAAAGGCTTATCACTTAATCGTAGGATAAAAATAGCTTTAAAAGTTTTTTATTATTTAATTTGACTGCAAGATGTAATGCTGTTTAGCCAATAGCATCCTGACTATTTAAGATAGTTGGATCATTTTCTAGCATCATAGAGCACTGCCTAATATTTTCTTGAATAACAAAGTTAAAGAATCTGAGTTAGTCTTCTTTCTACTTGGCAGCATGAAGATTTTCTAAAGATTTATAGGAATCTTAGACTCTGGGTGTGAAGAACTAAGAGTTATTATGCTTTGAATCATAAATGTCGAATACCTGGAATTTATTCAACTCTTACAATCTTCTCTAGAATGACTAGCGGTTTTTAGAAAGTTAAAAATTAACTCTGTCCTTATTTTCTACTTTATCAAATGTTGAATGTCTAATGTCAGATATAGCATTTTTATTTCTGCTTGTCAATGGATTAGAACTGGCCTTAAAGTTTGGAGTATTTCCCAATTTAGGAATAATTATTGAATCTTTATTAATGATGGTCTCCATTCTAAAGCCTGAATACCTATTATTCTTATTGTCTTAATCCTTCACTTGACTCTTTTGCTTAATCTTAGCCAAAAAGTGCTACTTAGCTTTTGGTTTTTAGTGAAATAAGGGCGTGTTTACATTGTAGGTGTTTTGATAGGTATTATTATCATGAATTCTTCTATCATTTATGCTGTTTATCGTGTAATCAGCAGCTGTGTCCATACTTGTCATATTAATAGAAGATTCATCAGTCGTAAATTACCTACTCCTGATGTCTTGATTTTGGAGGGTTAACCAATTAGTATCCTAAATAGGATTTCTAATGTCATTTGAAGTGTAGTACTCTGCTTCAACATTTTCATTCGAAAGTCTCTTATCTAGATGCTGTGTCCGCTTTTTATAATCCCTCATTTTACTGCGAAGTTTGTCTATCTACTCTTCATTCAGCTGTATTGGAATATTCTTGTCTTAGCTCTTGATAGTTTCAAGCCTATCTAATATATCTTGAATCCCATCTTGGTTAAAAGTCTTTCTAATCCTGAATGCAGCTCTTTTATCTTGAGGAGATAACTATGGCTTTACAGGGGTTTACTCTTTCTAGTTTATTAAAAACTTCTGATTAGTCTTTATAAACACAATATTCCTCTCTAGACAAAGTTTAAATCCCTTATACAATTACTTACTTATGGTTGGACTATCATTTTTTACAACAAATTTAGAGTCATTGTTTATCCTTGAATCAACAGAAAGCTATTAAGTTTGAATTTTCGGCAATAAAGATTGCAATGTATTCCGAGTTGCAGAACTCATCAATATTATGTAATAAACTAATAAATATTTCGTATAAATTTACAAGGATTTATGATTATAATGGCATGTATTTCAATTATGTATTCATGGGGTTTTGGGGTTTTGGGGTTTTGGGGTTTTGGGG